CTCTGGTCGGTGTCTTCCAGGAGCAACATAGCGTGCCAAGATGCTTAGAGGGTATGCAAGGTCAGGTCGTGTGCAGGTCATCAGGTACATGAGGCAGCCAACAAGCTCTGGGTACGGGCCACTCGACTCTACGGACTCATCCGAAGGCAGAGCTGAGAGCGAGTGGCGAGTGGGTAGAGGAGTGGCCTGAGGCGAGGAGTACATGAAGCCGAAGCGCTGAAGGACGTTTTGCACCATGTGTGACTAAGTCAGGGTAATCGTGCGGCGTGCTCTATCCTGGGTGATCTGCAAGCCAAGGTAGCTGCGCAGTTCACCCAGGTCTGTGCACGTGTGTCTCTTCTGTAGCTCGGACTTCACGTGGGCGAGTCCAGCAGCGTCAGCTGTGGCAAAGACCAAGTCGTCGACGTACACGAGGATGTAGAACGGCGGCAAAAAAGTGTCAGTGCACAGAAACAGGGACGGGTCGGCACTAGAGGGAGCAAACCCAAGAGCCACAAGTGTAGCCCTCAGTGTGTCGTGCCACTCACGCGGTGCCTGGCGGAGATCGTAGACTGGCCGCCGGAGGCTCCGCTAGGTGCCAGGAGGAAAAGTCCCAGTGAAGCCAGGTGGGCGGCGCAGGCAGATCTCCTCGTGCACGCTACCCTGCAAGAAAGCAGTGCTGAAGTCAAGAGAGTGAAGCTCGTAGTCGCGCAAAGCGGGTGTGTGCAGTAGCACCCGAAGAGTGGTCATCTTCGGAGTGGGAGAGAAGGTCTGAAAGTAGTCAACTCCCTGCCGGTGACTGAAGCCACAAGCCACGTACCGCTCCTTGAAGACAGGCGGAGATCCCGACGGCCGCTTCACGCTGAAGATCCACATGCCACAGACGATGTTCGCCCCAGGTGGGGGAACCTCGTCAACGTAGGTGCCTGTGGACTTCCAGGAAGCCATCTCTGTGTCCATAGCTTCCTGCCAATGAGAAGTGTAGGGACCTTCTATCGCCTCCGCGTAAGAGCGCGGAGTCGGGAAGTCAAGTGCATCCGAGTCAACCTCAGGGGTAAACAGTACGGACACGAGATGAGGTCAAGCAGCAGCCAGACACTGGAACTCCTCCTGCTTGTCCTCAAGAACGTCCATGCCAAGGGCACACTCACCCGTGACGGACGGAGGACAAACAGACGCAGACTCAACAACAAGACTTGCAGCGTAGTCTAGACGACAGCGAGCAGCAAAGTCGATGAGCTCAGCAGCTAGGGCAGACGCAGCAGTGGACTCAAAGGAAGGGTCAGTGACAACAGTAGCAAGGAGTCACGTGACAGTAGAAATAGCAGCACAAAGAGAGTCCGACTCCGGGTCGGCAAGAGCAGGAAGAGAGGACTCAGCGCCAGGACCAACAGTAGCTGTAGCACCCCCTGTAGGACCACCTCCAGGACCGACAGCAGTAGCCTCAGCGCGAGCACCCTCAGCAGCTCCAGCTCCAGTCGTACCCGCAGGCCCAGCAGCTACAGTACTCCCACTATGAGCACCTCCGGGACCCGCGGCACCAGCACCCTCAGCAGCTGAAGAAACTCCAGCTCCAGCAGCACGACTCTAGCGCCGGGCAAACCACTCGTGCAGCTCCTATGGAGAGAGTGGCTCCCGTCGAGATGAAGCACTCGGAGAACCTCCAGGCCCAGCACGGCACACGCCACACAAGCAGGCCCAGTGCCCGCACGCTCCTCACCCTCAGGCCTTGCAGCTCTAGACGGAGCACCCCCAGGCTCAGAACCCCCAGGCTCAGCACCCCCAGTCTTAGCACCCCCAGGCTCAGCTAGCACCAGTAGGCTCAGCATCCCCAGGCGTAGCACCCGCATGCTCAGCACCCCCAGAGTCAGCACCCCCAGGCTCAGTACCCCCAGGTGTAGCTCCCACACGCTCAGCACCCCCAGAGTCAGCACCCCCAGACTCAGCACCCCCAGCAGCACCAGAGTCACCAGTAATCTCGACAATCTCGACTGCGTCTACCTAGGACACACCTGAACGAGCAAGACCTTGAGGGGGGAGGGGTTCTAACGGTGGGGGACCTGGCACAAGGAAGAGCGGTGGCGGGGGGAGGGACGGAGTGCGGTAGGGGAAGAGGCAGTAGTAGGGGACCGACTTTTCAAACGTGACGTCCTGGGAGGACAAAACACGACGAGAGGTGGGGTGGTAGAAGTGCCACCCTGGCGTGTCAGGGGGGAAGCCAAGGAAGACGTAAGGAGCAGCACGAGGAGACAGCTTGTCCGTAGACAAGTCGCGGACAAACGCCTGAGATCCCCAGACACGGAACGCAGACGCATCGCCAACCTTCCCCGTCCACAGCAAAGCTGGGGAGGTCTCCGGCATGGAGACCCTGGGGTGAAGGTTGATCTGATGCGCCGCGTACCGAACCGCAAACAGCCACAGAAAATGGGGGGCAGCCGCATGGATCATCGACGTATGGGCGACGTCCATGACCATGCCAATGCGGCGCTCAGCAATCCAATTTTGCTGTGGTGAGTCCGGAAGCGTGAAGGTCTGGCGGATGCCTCGTGCACGATAGTAGGCTCGCAGAAGGTCAAAGGAGAACTCTCCGCCTCTGTTAGAGTGCAGACGCAGAACAGGAAAGTCCGAGCCGAAACTTTGCCTGAGCTGGAGACGAGCTGCGCGGATCCAGTCGATCAACACCTCAGTGACATCACCCTTGCTGCGCAAGGGGAAGATTGTGGTGTAACGTGAGTAGTCATCAACTACCAGCAAGAAGTAGCGCTCGTGACCCTGTCCACGGACGCGGGCCGGGCCCCACACGTCCATGTGAAGCGTCTGCAGTGGGGCCTCTGTCAGAGGAAACTGGGAGGAGTGAGGGGCTGCCCGCTGTCGCCCCTCGACACAGGGGACGCAGGTAGGGCTAGGGCCCGGAGGAAGGGGACGGAGGGACCGGGGAAGACCAGAGACAAGAACACGGGAGGCCATGCCTCAGAGACGAAGCAGGGAGGGGTGACCAAGGCGGTGGTGCCACAAAGAGTCTCGTGAGACAGGAGGCGACACGAGCAAGGGGCAGACTCAGGACCTAACCTGGACGCTGCAACAAACACCTGACCCAACGCAGCTGCCTGACCAGGCGCAGGGACAGGAGGACACGCAGTGGTCAATGTGTACAGGCTCGACCCCGGCCGACGTATAAACGTGGCCAAGTGTCGGCCCGTCCGAGCGTCCGTGCAGTTTGTCACCCGCTGGCTCGCAGGAGTGAACTGGTTAACTCCCCCATCCTGTAGGTCAGCACCACTCACCATGTTCGTAGAGAACGAGGGGAGGTAGAGACCAGATAGGGTGCCAGAGAGAGCCGCCGAACACGGGAGGACTGTGGAGAAGTGCTGAAGGACAGGACCCCCACACGGGTCTGCCAGAGAGACTGCAACTGGCCGACCAAGCGGCGTGAGTTTGGTGCAGTCTCGAAAGAAGGAGCGAGAAGCCCCTATGTCAAGGGTGAAGGTGAGGGAGGCCGAAGCCTACGCGGTACCTGAGAGCGCAACCTCACTAGCACCTGAGGAAGCAGAGGCACTGGCACCTAGAGGAGCAACCTCGCTAGCACCTAGAGCAGCAGCCTCATCAGTACCTAGAGCAGCAGTTTCAATGCCCGGGTCGGGCGGAAAACACCGGTAACGGTCACCCTCATCACTAATAGTCACAGCATACATGGCAGCAAGAATAGCATCAAAGTCAAGGTCAAAGATAGCTACTCCCGCCCTAGACAGCTCTCTCCAGCGGGGGATCTCAGTGGCCTCCGGGAACTGGTGACGCCAAGCGTCCGTGAGGCGGCCAAAGCAGCGCTGGTTGGGGTGCGCACCTCCACACTGCTCACCCGCGCGGTTGCTGGTGCGTAGGACGTAGGTGCACGGACCAGTACCCCCACCCCGCTGACGTGCGGCGTACCACTCACGGAGCTGCTGAGGAGGGGGGATGTCACGAGTGCGCTCCTGCTGCTGGTGCTGCTGGCGCGGACCACCACCGGAGCCGACCCTCTACGTAGCGCCACCCCGACCAGCTCCACCTCCTCCACCACCGCCTCCTCCACCGCCACCACCTCCGCTACCTCTGCTCCCACTGCCACCGCCGCCGCCGCCTCCGCCTCCACTGCCGCCACCGACACCTCCACCCCGGCCACCACTCCCACTGCCACCCCCACTCCCTCCTCCGCCTCCACCGCCGCCTCCCCCGCCCCCGCTAGCCCCTCCAGCGCCCGTGCCCCCCTTTCCCTTGCTAGGGCGGCGCCTCCCGCTAGGGGTAGACGCCGCACCGACCGACTCAAGCCCATCGAGGTCGGCCGCAGCAGCAGAGGCAACAGAGGGCAAGAGGGGGGAGGGAGAATACCCCTCAAAGACAGGGGTGCGAGGGTCACCACGGGAGGCTCCTACAGCGACTATGCTCTTCTGTGCTGATAGGAGGGCCTTCTTGCGGAGGTCAACGGTGAGAGTGGTGGGGCAAATTGATAGGAAGTGGTCCCGGACTACGCGAAGAGAGTCAGGGAGCCGAGTGACTATGTAGTAGAGGGTGATGTACATGGGGGGGGGGGGGGGGGGGTCTTGGCGCAGAACTAAGCAGGAAGCGCAGCGCGGTAGCGAGTGTCACTAGTGCGGAGGTGCGTAATGAGGTCAGCGACTGTGGGAAAGGCAGCAAGGTCAAGGAAGAGGTACTGTAGCATGAGGCGGCTCAGTGCCGCAGTGGCAGGGGCGGAGTAGCGTGCAACTACAGCGTCGTACAAGGTCTGAGCACTCTTGTACTAGCTAAAGTGCGCACGCTCAGAGGTAGGCAGGTGTCGACGCACAGCAAGAAGTGCAGCAGCATTGCACGTGGCCCACTGTGAGCGAAGAGTGGCGTCAGCATCAGCACCAGGGGCAGGAGAGGCACCAGAGGTGAGGTCAAAGAGGGAGAGACCGTGTTCCCTATCGCACTGTAAGAAGAGCTGCAGGTCATCTACCCAAACGTCCAAGTCAATGGCCCGACCCTCAGCATCAAAAGCGAGGACACTAGGGGTCAGGCGGTACACACATGTAACAGCCACCCACAACACTATCATCAACAACATACATGGCAGCAAGAATACCATCATTGTCAAGATCAAAGACGGCAACTCCCGCCCTAGACAGATGTCCCCAGCGACGGATCTCTCTCACCTCAGGGTACAGGCGACGCCACGCGTCCGTCAGGCGACCGAAGCAGCAAAGGGTGAAGTGCGGGCCTCTGCACTGCTCACCAGCTCGGTCACCGGTACGAAGGACATAAGTGCAGGGACCAAAACCCCCACCGCGCTTACGCGCGGTGTACCACTCACAAAGCTGCTGAGGGGACAGGGTCACACCGCTCCGCTGCTGCTCGCACGGACCACCAGATGAGCCACTCCTCTGCGCAGAGTCGCGACCCGCTCCGCCACCGCCGCCGCCACCGCTGCCTCCGCCGCCTCCGCCACCTCCGCCGCCTCCGCTCCCTCCATCGCCTCCGCTCCCTCCGCCACCACCACTCCCTCTACCGCCTCCGCTCCCTCCGCCACCACCACTGCCTCCGCCGCCTCCACTGCTGCCGCCGCCGCCGCCACCCCCGGCACCACTCCCACCACCACCCCCACTCCCTCCTTTGCCTCCACCACCACCTCCACCGCCCCCTCCAGCCCCTCCAGCGCTCTTGCCCCCCTTGCCCTTGCCGGTGCGGCGTCTCCCGCTCGGGGCAGACGCAGCATCAACCGACTCGAAGCCAACGAGGTCGGCCGCGGCAGTAGAGGCAACAGAGGGCAAGAGGGGGGAGGGAGAACACCCCTCAAAGACGAGGGTGCGAGGGTCACCACGAGAGGCTCCTACAGCGACAATGCTCTTATCTATCGCTAGGAGGGCCTTTTTGAGGAGGTCAACGGTGAGAGTTGTGGGGCACACTGAGAGGAAGTGGTCCCTGACTACGCGGAAAGAGTCGGGGAGCCGGGTGACTATGTAGTAGAGGGTGATGTACATGGGGGGGGGGGGAGGGGGGGGGGTTCTTGGCGCAGAACTCAGCAGGAAGCGCAGCGCGGTAGCGAGTGTCACTAGTGCGGAGGTGCGTAATGAGGTCAGCGACTGTGGGAAAGGCAGCAAGGTCAGAGAAGAGGTACGGTAGCATGAGGCAGCTCAGTGCAGCAGTGGCAGGGGAAGAGTAGCGTGCAACTACAGCGTCGTACAAGGTCTGAGCACTCTTGTACTGGCTAAAGTGTGCACGCTCAGTGGTCGGTAAGTGGTGGCGCACAGCAAGGCGAGCAGCAGCATCACGCGTGGCCCACTGTGAGCAAACCATGGTATCAGCATCAACAGCATGGGCAGGAGAGGCACCAGAAGTGAGGTCAAATAGGGAGAGACCGTGTTCCCTATCGCACTGTAAGAAAAGCTGCAGATCATCTACCCAGACCTCAAAGTCAATTGCCTGATCCTTAGCGTCAAAGGTGAGAACACTAGGGGAGGCCATGACAGCAGTAGACAGGTAGTGAGTACAGTGGGACAGGCCAGTGCAGTGGCAGAGACGCTGCTCTTACCAGGCAAGTGGGGGAGTCCCGGGCAGGCCGACAGGAGATAGCGCCTCGGCTGCGGTGCGGCGCAGCTGCTCGGCGGCTCGGCGGCTCGGCTGCTGGGCGGCTCGGCGATCGGGCGGCTCGGCGGCTGGGCGGCTCGGCGGTCGGGTGGCTCAACTGCTGGGCGGCTGGGCTGCTGGGCGGCTCGGCAGTTTGGCGGCTCAGCTGCTTGGCGGCTCGGGCGCTGGGCCGCTCGGCTGCTGGGCGGCTCGGCGGTCGGGCGGATTGGCTGCTCGGTGGTTCGGCTGCTCGGCGGCTCGGGCGCTGGGCGGCTGAGCGGCGACGGGGCCTTACAAGGGCGGCAACAGGGCCACTTAAATGGCGGTGACAGGCCGCTGAAAGGGCGGCGACGGTCTGAGGGAAGGACGGCGACAGGCCGCTGAAAGGGCGGCGACGGGGCCCGCTGAAAGGGCGGGCGGCGACGGGGCCGCTGAAGGGGCGGCGGTGGGGCCGGTGAAAGGGCGGGCAACGGGGCCGCTGAAGGGCCCCGATGGGGCCGCTAGAGGGCAGCGACAGGGCCGGTTTAGGGCGGTGTCAGTGCCGCGGAAGGGCGGGCGACGGGGCCGCTGTAAGGGTGGGCGGCGAGGCCGTGAAAGGGCGGCGACGGGGCCGTGGAAGGGCGGCGACGGGGCCGCTAAAAGGGGCGGCGATGGGGCGGCTGAAAGGGCGGTGACGGGGCCATGGGAAAGGGCGGCGACAGGGCCGCGTAAGGGGCGGCGCGACGGGGCCGCAAGGGCGGCGTGACGGGGCCGCAAGGGCGGCGCGACAGGGCCGGAAGGGCGGCGCGACGGGGCCGTTAGGGGCCGTAAGAGGGGCCGCTGGAGGCCGTAGAAGGGGCCGCTAGAGGCCGCTAGAGGGGGGGACGACTCGGGGTGCGACTCGGGCAGGGGCCAAGCGTGCTCCGGGCAGGAAAAAAAAGGTTGGTGGGCCCTAGGAAATGTTCCCACGAGGGAACCGGCTCTATACCATGTGAAGAATGAAACGAGAGAATGAATGAACTATGAAACAGTTGGGTACAAGTACTAACCCTAATTGGGCTGTACCCCATATGGGCTACCCTACTACAGCCTACACAAATGTATAAGCTATAATGTTTTGACAAATACAGGCGGCAGAAGGGGCGACGCTCGCCCCCCTCCCCTAGTTCGCCTCGACAGGCGACGGGAAAAGAGGGGGGGGGGGGGGGGGGGTGGTGCACGTGCCCCCGGTGCGCCGCGACTGGCGACGAAGCATGGCCGGGGCGGGGCGGCGTCGAAGAAGGGCCGAAAGGGGCGGCGACGGGGCTGATAGGGGCGGCGACGGGGCCGCTAGGGTCGGCGACGGGGCCGTTAGGGGCGGGGACGGGGCCGCTGGCGGCGGCGACGGGGCCGATAGGGGTGGTGACGGGGCCGCTAGGGTCGGCGACGAGGCCGCTAGGGTCGGCGACGGGGCCGCTTGGGTCGGCGACGCGGCCGCTGGCGGCGACGGGGCCGCTAGAGTCGGCGACGGGCCCGCTAGCGGCGACGGGGCTGCTAGGGGCGGCGACGGGGCCGCTGGCGGCGGCGACGGGGCCGTTAGGGGCGGCGTCGGGGCCAATAGGGGCGGCGACGGGGCCGCAAAGGGGCCGCGAGGGGCCTGAGAGGTCGGCGATGGGGCCGCTGGCGGTGGCAACGGGACCGCTAGGGGCGGCGACGGGCCGTGAAAGGGGCGGCGACGGGGCCGCGAAGGAGCCGAGAGGGGCCTGGAAGTGCGGCAATGGGGCCGCTAAGAGTAGCGCGAGGGGCACGCCACGGGGCGTGAAGCACACAGTGTAGCAGCGGAAGTAGTTAGGTGGGCCCACAGGCCAGGGGCGTAGATGCTCTGAAAGCATGTGAAAAATGAGGAATGAAGAAGAGGGGGGATTCACTAGCAAACTAAGAGTGAAAACAGTAGAAATACCTAACCCTAAAATTGTGTACCCCCTACAGGCTAACCCACTGTAGCATAAACAAGTACAACAACATATATAATGTTTGACACACCCCCATAGGCGAAGTGGGGCAGAACTAGGGGTCATACGACCAGTCAAGGCAAAGCAAGGCAAAACAAGCTCAGGGTGGATCTCAAGGATACCACACAAATTCCGAGCACAAGCAAGTGGTCAAAAGACCAGTTCACATGCGGATTTCTAATAGAACAAGTGGTACAACGATCACAACCTAGCAAGGGTAAACATGCAGGTATATGTATATAGAGATCACAGTACAAACACACTCAAGAAGTAAGCAAGTGTGGTACAGTAGGCACAACGCCTAGAAGAGTGCAAAAGCGCTTATGGTCACAAGGCTAAAGTGCCTTGGTGAACACATCAGTAGTGTTGGCCTCAAAGACCACGTAACGCAGACGAAGCTGACCACTCTGCTGCAGCTCTCGAGCAGGGAAGTAGCGCAGAGCAATGTGCTTCGTTCTGTGCTCCAGTCTGTGCTCCTGACACAAAGCAATGGCTGCCTTGTTGTCGACGTACAGGACTGGAGGAGAACGAGGCTGCTCTCCAGATCGGTCAGCAAGTAGGTGAGCGAGCGTAGCTCCTAGGCCGCCATGGATGTGGCGTAGATCTCAGCCTCACAACTGGAGCTGAGAACAAATGAAGAGCGAGTAGAACGCCAAGAAACTGAACCAGAGCCAAGACTGAAGGAGTAACCCTGAGACAACCGCTGAGTAGCCTGGTCGTCTTCCCAAGAAGCGTCTGAGTGCCCAATGAGAACAACTGGGACTCGCCCTCCAAGCACTAGCCCCATGCCCGACGTACTGCACAAGTAGCGCAACACCCTCTTAGCTACATCCATGTGCTCCTTCCGGTGACAGCCGGGAGCGACATAGCGTGCAAGAATGCTTAGAGGGTATGCAACGTCAGGTCGAGTGCAGATCATCAGGTACATGAGGCAACCCACAAGCTCTGGATACGGGCCACTCGACTCTACGGACTCATCCAAAGGCAAAGCTGAGAGCGAGTGACCGGTAGGCAGAGGAGTGGGCTGAGGCGAGGAGTACGTGAAGCGGAAGCGCTGAAGGACCTGCTGCACCATGTGTGACTGAGTCAAGGTGATGGTGCGGCGTGCTCTATCCCGGGTGATCCGCAAACCAAGATAGCTTGTCAGTTCACCCAGGTCTGTGCACGTGTGTCTCTTCTGCAGCTCTGACTTCACGTGGGCGAGTTCCACAGTGTCAGCAGTGGCAAAGACCAAGTCGTCGACGTACACAAGGACGTAGAACGGCTACAGTGAGGTGTCGGTGCGTAGAAACAGCGACGGGTCAGTAGTAGAAGGAGCAAACCCAAGAGCCGCAAGTGTAGTCCTCAGTGTGTCGTGCCACTCACGAGGCGCCTGGCGGAGACCGTAGATTGGCCGTCGGAGGCTCCACTGGGTACCAGGAGGGAACGAGCCAGTGAAGCCAGGTGGACGGCGCAGCCAGATCTCCTCGTGCAGGCTGCCTTGTAGGAAAGCAGTGCTGAAGTCAAGCGAGTGGAGCTCGTAGTCACGCTGAGCGGCGACGTGCAGCAGAACCCGAAGAGTGGTCATCTTCGGGGTCGGGGAGAAGGTCTGGAACAAGTCAACTCCCTCTCGCTGACTGAAGCCTCGTGCAACGTAACACTCCTAAAAGACAGACGGAGAGCCCGGTGGCCGCTTCACCCTGAAAATCCACATGCCACTGACGATGTTCGCCCCAGGTGGGGGAACCTCGTCGACGTAGGTGCCTGTGGACTTCCAAGAAGCCATCTCAGTGTCCATGGCCGACTGCCACTGAGAGTAGTAGGGACCGGCCATCGCCTCTGCATAAGAGCGTGGGGTCGGGATGTCTGGTGCATCCGGGTCCCCCTCAGGGGCAACAAGCATGGACACGAGATGGGGTAAAGCGGCAGCAAAGCACTCAAACTCCTCATGCCTATCCTCAAGGACGTCAGTGCCAAGAGCACACTCACCCCCGACGGACGGAGGAGAGACAGACTCAGACTCAGCAACCAAGCTAGTAGCGTAGTCTAGACGAATGCTGGCAGCAAAGTCGACAAGCTCAGCAACTAAGGCAGACGCAGCAGCGGACTCAAAGGAAGGGTTAGTGACAGTAGGACTGGCAGCACGAAGGGAGTCTGACCCAAGGTCAGCAAGAGCAGGAAGAGAGGAAACACGAAGAGACGGCAGTGGGACACGCTGTGGAGCAGTGGACGGACGAAGCGCCATCCGGTGAGTGCCTGGGACAGCACGAAGACGCTGAAGCTGGACACGACTACCAGTGAGAGCAGCACGGACAGGCGACGCACGACGAGACTCAGGCTCACGACGCTTAGTAAGACCTCCAGTCGAACCAGTGTAAGGAGCAAGACTAGGGAGAGAGGAGGCAGACGGTAGCTGCGACGGCAGCTGGGCAGACGGAGGACACCCTAAGGAGGGAGGAGGACACGGAGGAGGGAGCTGACCAAGAACCTGCTTAAGGAGCGGAACGAAGTACGGCTGCGGCCGTGTAGTGATACCAGAACCAGGAGAGACACCCGCACCAGGGTCCACAGCACAAGCAGCAGCGCCAGCGCCCGGGTCCATAGCACAAGTAGCAACTCAAACACGTGGGTCATCAGCACCAGCAGCAGCTCCAACGCCCGGGTCCGCAGCACCAGCAGCAGCTCCAACACCCGGATCCGCAGCACCAGCAGCAGCTCCAACGCCCGGATCCGCAGCACCGGCAGCAGCTCCAACGCCCGGGGCCGCAGCACCAGCAGTAGCTCCAACACCCGGGTCCATAGCACCAGCAGCAGCTCCAACGCCCGGGTCCACAGCACCGGCAGCAGCTCCAACGCCTGGGTCCATAGCACCAGCAGCAACTCCAAAGGTAGCGGGGTCCGTGACACAAGGCGCGCCACTCCGAAGAGTGCAGCGCTGCTCGTACCACT